TGACATTTGACTCCTTAAAGTGACTTACAGGAGTATTTTCTTTTAACCTTTGTAATGGCATCATTTTCATCTATGTCAAATTAAAAAATTTATGTTCATAAGCTTTTAAAAATTTCTATTTAAAACAATATGTAGAATAAGACAAATAAGCTACCAATCATATGAAATTAGTATTAATAAATTAATTTGTACTACAGAGGTGGCACAGAAGAACACAAAAGTGGCTTGTAGGTACATTTTCAGACGTTTAATGAGGCTCAGAGGTGGCACGAGTGCAATTAAAGTCATAAATTCATGTGGAGATTAATGTTGTCTGTGTGTGTGTGTGTGTGTGTTGATTGTGTGAGTGTGTGTGTGTGTCATGGTGGTTTTCGCACCTCTGTCTTTGGGTTGGGGCTCCTCCTGTGGAAACTCACTGGCGGCATCCATATCTGAGCACAGGTCCACGTCCTCATTGGTAGATCCTCTCTCGTTGGACACAAACGAGGTGCAGTCTGATTGGTCTGTTGTCTCGGAGGGGGCGTGGATGCTGCAGGGCGTGTCCGAACGCTGCTGTAACTGGGTGTGGAGAGACTCGATGATTTGATCTTTGTGTTGGAGCTCCTTACTCAACCTATTGAAGAACACGACCACCTGTCATTAATAAAGTGAAGTGAACTTCTGCATATTATATTCTAGAGGAGACGCTCACCTCAGCGCTAGCAGCTCGTGACCCGTTTTATCATCTTGCTGCTCTGAACGATCACCTGACAACCAAAGAAAACATTTAGTGAAGGACTGTATATTTACAAACCAGCAGACACTTAAAGAAAAGATCCGATAGTGCTTGTAAGGAGTGTGTGCACACACTCACGTCCACTGATCTTGGTGCTGACTCTGTGAGCGAGTGAGGAACTCTGGGAAAGCTGCTCTCGGAAGCTTTGGCCCATGTAGTAATCAATGTCATTGGCACGCAGCAGCTCCTCGAAGGCTTTGGTCGTGTCACTCAAGTGCTGTGTGAGGATGTGGCAGATGCCCTGGCCCTCTCGCATCTTCTGACGCAGGTGTGACAGCTCTCGTGCCTGTGCCTGGATCAGTGTGTTGTACTTCCTGTACAAACAGGAAGAGGAACAAATGTGGTGCTTTGCTGGATTTTTTTAACACAGAGAAATCTATGCTGCGTGTCCAGCATGTCTGTTGCTGTTGAACTGAACTGAACTGTGGCCGGTTGCATAAACTACTAAAGCCAGTCGCACACCAGACGAGAAGCGCAGAGCAGCGCCACGTCTTTAAAATTCTAACACATTGTTTTCTACGAGTGTATGCACACCGGCGGCAGCCAGCAACGACTCAGGACATCGTTCAAAACTATGTTCAACTAAAATTCAGTTACAAAAAGGTAGATGGATCTAATCTGAATCTGAAATGTATGACTGATTCTTTCTAACTGCTAGCTGGTCAAACGTGTTCTTAAGACAGTTAATATGGTGACTGTGTTTATGCCGCGAACCCTGATCAGAATAATGACGCTCTTGTCTTCTGTAGAGCTGCTTGACAGCTGAAAATGAATTAGTTTTATATTTGATGAAGTTTGCATCACTGATTCTGTTATTTTCTTGTTTATTGCTGTGAAGCTGCTTTGACTCAATCTGTATAGCACAAAGCGCTGCAGAAAATCAGGGTTGGGTGTCTTGTAAGCGCCTCACCCAGGCCAGGTGGCACATTTCCCGTCCTCCGGGCCGCTCTTTCCCTCACGTGCAGAGCTCCTGATCTGCGTCTCCAGCAGCGTCACACGGCTCACCAGCTCCTGCAGCTCGCGGCTGGGTCTCAGCGGCCCGTCTGACTGCCAGCCCTCGTCCTCGTCCGCACCGCTGTGAGCCGAGCTCACCTGAAACGCCCAGTTCACCTGACGGGTCAGACACACAGCTCATCACACCGGCTCTTTATCTAATGAATACATGAATGAACGTTAACTATTAATCTGAGGGAGAGACCAAAGTAAGAGACAGGAGTGATTAAAAAAAACATGAAATCAGCACGGCTGTGCAGGAAATCAATTAATTATAACGTTTGGTGTCGTTACCGATTTTGGCCACAGAATGACTGGCCAATCACAGCCGAGTATTTGATAGCGACATATCAAAGTATAATATGATCAGTCTGAAGTGATTCTGCAGATGAGGTGGCGGTAACGTTACTAACAGGTCAGTGCTAACGTCACTGGTGCGTTACCTTGCGCGGCGTGCGCTCCAGGCTGGAGGCGTAGTCGGAGGTGTTTGAGAGCGAGCGGATGCGCAGCTGCAGGCCGCGGATCACTTTGTGGCAGCGAGAGAGCTGTGAACGCAGATCCTGCACCAGACGCTTCAGCGAGGACGGGTCGTCTGTCTGCGTACCATCGCTGTCTGCGTTCCAGCCGCTGCGTCTGCTCACCGAAACCGAGAGAGAGACGCCCATCTCCAGCTCATCAAACTCTGACGACAGAAGGACACAACATGCACTGAGCTGCGGCACTAGTTTCAACCAGCACATGAATGTTCATCACATGCAAAACATTTGAGACTCAGAAACACCGCATCATCTGTGTCCCAGAATGCAGCAGAAATTTTGATGTGTTGTGTACAGTGGGGTCACATAATCATCAGCTTCTGTTCATGTAGCTCCAGTGCTGCTGTCATTAAAGCAAAAGTCCTTCCCACATTCATGTTTATTGTTCCACTTTTCTCTTTTTAAAAGGTTTTCATTCCTTCAGAAAACAGAAGCACTAGTTTGGAGCTGCTGTGTTTATGACTGTCAGTGTGTGTCAGGTGTGTGTACCGGGGCTGCTGGTGTCGTCTCTCTCAGCTTCATTCTCGCTGCGGCCGCTCGTCTCGTATCCCAGATCCTGAAGATCCACCTGCACCTGTTTACTGTCCTGCTGCACAGCACTCTCAGCTGACAAAGACAGAACCATCAGTACAAATCACAGGGGTGAGAGTGTGTGTGTGTGTGTGTGTGTGTATATGTGTAATTATGGTGTGTGTCTGTGTGTCTCGAATCGCCCTTTTCTGTCAAAGATACTAGAAAAGGTAGTATCATTACAACTATGTTCCTTTTTAGAGAAAAATGGTATCTGTGAGGATTTAGACCGTATCATAGTACTGAGACTGCTCTCATTAGAGTTACAAATGACCTGCTCTTATCATCCGATCGTGGTTGTATCTCTCTATTAGTCCTGCATCTTCAATAAACAAGCTACAGGTAGTCCAAAATGCAGCAGCTAGAGTCCTTACCAGGTCAAGAAAATATGATCATATTACCCCAATTTTACAGTCTCTGCACTGGCTACCTATTAAGTTCCGTATCAGTTACAAAATATTATTACTTGCCTATAAGGCCCTTAATGGGTTAGCTCCTGTTAATAGTGTTCATCGTCTGTTTGATTACGTCATTAACTGAATTTTACCACTGACAAGCTACTACTAAATATATTGTAGAAACTTAATTTTCTGTAAAGCTGCTTTGCAATGATTTGTTTCTGAAAAGCGCTATACAAATAAACTCGAATTGAATTGAATATTAGTGCTACTGGATCTTAGCGTTTGACACTATCGACCACAACATTCTTTTGAATAGACTAGAAAATGATGTTGGCATTAGAGGAAGTGCATTGGCATGGGCAAAATCGTACTTATCTGACCGCCATCAATTCGTAGCAGTGAATGAAGAGGTATCATACCGATCACAAGTGCAGTATGGAGTACCTCAAGGCTCAGTACTAGGGCCGTTACTCTTCACACTTTACATGTTACCCTTCGGAGATATCATCAGGAAACACGGGCCATTTGATAATACCTAGAATATCAAAATCAACTGTGGGCAGCAGATAATTTTCCTATTTAGCGCCCAAACTCTGAAATAATCTACCTAACACTGTTCGGGAGGCAGACACACTCCGTCAGTTTAAATCTAGATTAAAGACCCATCTCTCTAACCTGGCTTACACATAACACACTAACAAATTTCTATTATTCAAATCCGTTAAAGTATTGTTAGGCTGCATTAATTAGGACAACCGGAACCGGGAACACTTCCCATAACACCCGATGTACTTGCTACATCGTTAGAAGAATGGCATCTACACTAATATTAGTTTGTTTCATTCTTATTCCGAGGTCACCATAGCCACCAGATCCAGTCTGTATCCAGATCAGATGGTCACTGCAGTCACCAAGACCACAGGAACCAGATGAGTCCTCTGCACAATCTGACTTTGTTGCAGCCTAGAATTAAACTTAGTCTGGCCAGAGGAAAACGGAACACTATTTCGACACACTATTTCCCTGTTTAATACTGTAAAGCTGCTTTAACACAATCTGCATTGTAAAAAGCGCTATATAAATAACGGTGACTTGATGTGTGTGTGTGTGTATGTGCGTGTGTGTGTAAGTATAGTGTAAGTATAGTGTATGTGTCTCCTCACTCAGCAGCTCTCTGTAGTCTTTCAGTTGTTCTGCCTGCGCTTGCACCGTTGCCTCTGACACCATCAGTCTCTCCTGCAGCTCGCGGCTCTCCTGACGACTCACGGCGAGGTCGCTACGGAGATGCTCCGCCTGCTCCCGAAGCCCCACCTCCACGTGCTGCCAGAAGCCGATGGCTCCACCCCCTCCTGTGCTCAAACCACTGCTGTCACCCACGACCTCCCGTTTCATTCCTACATCCTGATCACAAAACAAACACCGAATCCTTCACAAACCCACTGTTCTTACCTGAATGCTTTAGTACTACAGTCTGTACTTTGCTGTATGAAAATGAAGCTGGTTAGTGTTAACCAGTGCTAGTTATTTGGCTAATGATGCATCACCTGAACTGTGTGCTGGGCTGCAGGTTTGTGAGACAGCAGAGCTCCGAGGTCCAGAGAATGAGGTCTGGTGCACCTCCTCTTCCACCTCCCCTCCCGCAGCTTCACACTCGGGGGCCCACGCTTGCCCTGAGGGCCCCTTACATCTTCCCCTTCCTCTCTATCTTCATCATCATATTCTTCCTCCTCCTCCTCTCGGAACGTACGGTAAACTCTCTGAGGCTCACGGGAGTTTGGCCGTTCTGTTTCATGCTTCTCCGACCCTCGACACCTGACAGATTCCTCCTCATCCGCTGCTAATCCAGACTCATCTTCATTCAGAGCGTTCCTGCGAGAGATACGATTGCATCAGAGCAGGAAGACACCAGCAAACACAAGCGATCTGAAGGTGATGGATTTGGTACCTGGAGCGAGCGAGTGAGGAGCAGCCCGTCTCACTTTCATCTTGGTTTCTCTGCTCTGATGCATTGTGAGACATCAGCTCCCTGCCGAACTCCTCAGCTCTCTGTCAGGAGAACACAGTGAACTCTGAGATACGCTAACCACAAACAAATGCTAAAGACTCCATGAAACAAAAGCGCCCTTTTGTTTCCAATGCCTGTTGATGCATTTCCTGTTGACACAGGAAGTCAGGTGGAACAAATCCAAGGAAACAGCCAATTTCTAAAGAATATTATATTTCAGATTCTTAAATGTGTACAGGTGCATCTCAATAAATTAGAATGCCGTGGAAAAGTTCATTTATTTCAGTAATTCAACTCAAATTGTGAAACTCGTGTATTAAATAAATTCAATGCATACAGACTGAAGTAGTTTAAGTCTTTGGTTCTTTTAATTGTGATGATTTTGGCTCACATTTAACAAAAACCCACCAATTCACAA